GTTGTTCTTATTTTGGTTGATTTATTGGGCAGTGACACAAGAGCCAGTTGGTAAATCTGAGGAATGGGATCCATTAAAAATACTAGGGATGACAGGGTATCATAATATCCAGCTGTGTTTAATGGATCAGTTCTTTAGGGAGCTACTGTGTCTCAGATCAAGAAGCAGTACAGGCTATTAAGTATGACCCATCATCCTGATAAAGGAGGGGATCCTGAGGTATTCACTAAAATAGCTAAAGCTTATGAAGCGTAAGTTCCTCCATAAAGAGAGTGGGATGCACACATTGTCACTTGTACGTGTATAAAGTAATGATTGGGTCTGTCTTGTTTGATGTAGTTTGACTCAAGAGGAGACTAGGGAGAACTGGGAGAAGTATTGTAACCCTGATGGACACGTGTATAAAGTAATGATTGGGTCTGTCTTGTTTGATGTAGTTTGACTCAAGAGGAGACTAGGGAGAACTGGGAGAAGTATTGTAACCCTGATGGACCTAGAGCTGCTTCATTTGGTATAGCACTGCCCTCTTGGATTGTTGATAAGAATAACTCATTATGGTAGGTGTAGTCACTTTAATTACTAATTATTTTTAGTTATTAATAGGTTCTAGGTGCGTATGTGTTGGTATTTAATTATTGGACTCCTTATCATTGTTGTAAGTTATCATTAGTGTTGTCATGATTACGGTTATGCCCCGCCCCTCAGGGTAGTTGGTGGTATAAATCAGTGAAGTATGGTAGCACTAATATATTGATACAGACTAGTAAACTGTACTTCCACCTGCTGTCCAGAGCCAAGACAATGCCTGTACTAAGTGATAATGAATTAATAAATGATAATGACACATGTACTGGTACACAGGAGTGTTGATGATCCTAGCTACAGCAGTTGAGTTCTCTCCCAGTAATCAGGCCGGACTGAAGAACAGACCCAGTGATGATATATACTTGAATGAGCTGGTGAAGAAACTAGAATACATGTACATGTTAGTGTTGTATTGGTATACCATTACTAATACTAAAAGTATTTTGGTGCTGGGTCATGAAATTTGCATGGTATATCATAACTAAAACTAATACTAAAAGTATTAAAATACCATAACTAAAACCAATACTAAAAATAGCACAAATTGCTTTACTAAAATTTATAACCAATATTCATTTCTATGCAATACATTTGGTACAACAATGTTCACTGAAGGGTAAACAGACTAGATTGATATCACTAGACTATCATGTGCAAATTCGTGAAGCAAATGTTATGTGTAGCTATCTTAGTTGCAAAATGGCTACTAAAAGTGGAATACTAAGGAACA